AATCAGAAACACTTGATTATTCAGGGTAGTAAAAGTCGAAAAACTAATATGTAATTAACAATGTAATTATAAAACTAATATGTAATTATGTCGATCACTTACAACTAATATGTAATTTATTTTGAAATGTCAGAAATAAATATAAAAATAAAGAAATAAGCAGGTCAGAAAAGAAAGAAGAAGAAAAAAACATTTTTTTCAAAGCATCAAAACTTAAACTTTCCCATCTGTTGTTGTTGTAGTTCATTTATGTCGCACTAGAGCTGCACAATGAGCTATTGGCGACGGTCTGGGAAACATCCCATAGGATGATCCGAAGACATACCATCACAATCTTGATCTTCTGCAGAGGGGATGGCACCCTCGCTTCGGTAGCCCGACGACCTGCATGCGAAAGTCGAGCACTTTATGGTAGAACAGTTAACGAGGACCAATACCGCACACCTTCGGTCCTTACGAGACTGAACTTTCCCATCTGAATCACTTTCGTCTTACGAACTCGTAATTTCTGACTAACCGTTCTTCTTACTCGAACCTCGGTTCTTTAAACTTGTAGTCTGTCAAGCGCTAATTTACTAAATTTGTTTACAGGATTTTCCTGTAAACAAATTTAATAAATTAACCGTTAAAAATTACACCACAACTCATAAATTTCAACATACTTCCGGGTTTGTTTGTTTTTTCCTTTTATTATTATTATTATGAAATGCACGGTACTTCAATGTGATATTCAAGTCGCTGTTGCAAAGCTGCTTTCTTTCACTGCTGTACTTAAAATTAATTGCAAAAATGAGTAAAAATATCTGCATTTCTTCGTTAGGCGGCGCAAGTAAATTTAACTATTTTTTTATAATTATTATTTATTTATTGAACATTATTTAAACAGTAATGGTCATCATACATATAAATAAAAAATAAAGTAAATAAAAAAATAGTCGAATTTACTTGCGTCTGGCTTACGAAAATGTACCAAGCCATCTATTTGATGCATCTGAAATTTATTGGATTTTAAATTGTAGACAAACTAACCCCAGAGATAAAAAACCAATTTGGCAAACTAGCCAATGATTTTTACCGAATGTGTGTTAGTGGTGATTGCTTTCAAACGATTTTTTTTACTTGGATTAAGAAAAAATTTGAAACAGAATTGGGTGAACTATATTAAATTTTAAAATGAAATATGTTCTTTGCCTGAATAAAAGATTATATTTATACAAACTTTGTTACTTTGCGCATTTCTGGAGGAAAACAAAAGGCGTATTGAAATTAAAGAACAATATTGAACTTCGTGCAAAAAAATAAATAAAATAAAATACTTTCCTTTTATTTAATGTATGATAAGGTGCATTATCTAAATGTACCTAGTAAGACTTGGAATAGATATTGGAATAGACTTTAAATAGAATATTGGACAACACTTTCTTAGAAAAAACAGTTTTTAATACTCAAATAACACTTTTTAAACTTTTTTTAAAGAAATATAGGAATGTTTTTTGAATTGTGACAGTTCAGCAGCTATTTAAAAGTTTTGCATTTTATTTATTATTTTAAAAAAACATAGTTTATTCAATACAAAAGTATTTAAACCTTACATTTTCCTAAGACTAATAAAATCAAGCGAAATATAATCAGTGAAAACTATTTTTTGAAAGTAATTATATTCTGGAAAACAAGTTTTATATTTGTGCTCCAAAAGCTTTTAATTCGTTCTTGAGATATGGTGGGAAAATGCCTCGAATATATTATTAGGGTTACATTTTTTACATCGCAATTATCTCTATATATTGCAACTTGCAACTATTTCCATACAATACATAGTAAAAAGTATATGTCTATTCAAAGAAAATAAATTTTTATATCAGATATTGGTTTCTTCTAATAATCAATCTACACTCATTAATTTGTATGGTTAATCGACTGTACGGTATTTAAGAAAGGGATTAGAGACACAAAATGGGTGTACATTCTTTTTAATTGACTTCCTTGAATGTTTTGAAAGAAAAAAAAATCATGAAAATTTAAAATTTTGTGTTTTTGGGAAGCTTATAGTTATTAAAATATATGTGAAATTTTACGTAGAATTTTACAAGATAAAAGTTTGAGAAGAAACAACTCCAAACGATAAGAGATTGCGACAAATTTACCATTTACTGATCTTCAAGATACACGTTTTCATAAAACAATGCTTCTAAATCTTGTTGGAGTCTTAAATTCGTTAACCTTGATCGATCGAATCTAGACCATTTATGAATCTTACATCACATTAAAAAAACAAGTAGGTTGCTGGTTTCCAAGTTAAATGGTTGCTATATATGATTTACAATATGCTGTGAGAAATACTGTTGGTAACATTCAGGCAAGAATTCCTAAATTTACAAAGCGTAACATGCAAGTTTTGAATTTTGTTGTGTAGAAAGCATAAACAACTCAACAATAAAAAACATCATAAAATGATTTTGAATCTACTATAATTTAAAGCTTACAAATTTGAGATTTTCTTTACCTTTAGTATGTTAACAGAATGAAAATAGGCTGTTTATAATTACTTTAAAAACTTTGTTTTCAATAATAAGGAAAATTTAAGTAATAGTAACAATTCAACAAATTTTTCTAAAATTGTTCCATCCATTAAGCAATTACAAAAAAATTTTGTAATTACCCCCATAGAAAAAGCTAACAATAATTATGCAATCTTTTGTAAAAAGTGCTATGTCGAACAATGTTGTTAAATACAGAGTTAAAAAACAGTAAAAATTTCAAGCTCAGTAATTCAAATATTAATATTATCATTAAAAAAAAATTAGCTTTATAAAAGAGGCTAAAAATTATAATTAGCAATAAACAATTTCCTAACTTAATTATCAATTCAAAATTTCATAAAATTGAGAGCAATCACATGTAGGTCTAATACTTACATAACTAAACCTGGCACCATTTTGTCTAACTACTTAAATAAAATTATTAACAATATTATTCTTGGATTATCTCTAATAATTAACTGATTTTTAAATGTATTAAACAAAGTAAAATTAATTCTATTGTGACTTTTGATTTCTAGGATCTTTTAAGGAAATCATATGGAATGGAAAACATATTTTTATTCAAATCGATGGAATACTACAAGAATCTAATTCTCATCTCTCTTAGCTAACTTATTTTTACACTTTTCTGAAAAAAAATTATACTCTTAATATTAAATTTGCCTTTAGATTTATTGATGATCTAATTATCTTTAATTTTCAATATTATAGAATTTTATTAAATAATACTTATCCTAAAGAATTAATCTTGCTTCGTAATCATGACGATAATATTAATTTTAATTTTTTGGATTTGGGTATTAAAATAGAAAATATCTGCTTTATTGTTTAAACGATAAAAGAATTGATTTTAATATAAATAAATTAATTACTTGAAATTCTAATGTCTCTAAAATCATCTAATTAAATACTATTTTTAATCAAATGAATGGAATAAAAAGAATATATAGTAATGTTCATTCATCCAAAAAAACAAATAGACAAACTCTTTCAAAATTTGATTAAAAAAACAATGGATACCCAACTAAAGTAATTAAATTCAACATAAAATTATTAAGTTAATTGTATGTTATTATTAATACATTTGCTAAAAACTTCTTTGTTAACTTTTATTTCTACCAAGTGTGAGTCCAATTCGGGCAAATCCATGGCTAAAAATCTGAGCAAATTGGGCACACAAGTTTCTCTCTCTTTCTTTTTAATATTTTTTTTATAAATGTTCATTTTCTAATATCATTAAAGTTGTATTAAATATCAACCTTATTAATTATAAACTTCTTTAAATTATCCAGTATGATATTATTACCTTGCGCACACATTTCGGGCCAATCCTTGGTAACTAACAAATCAAACATGCTTCAGTACTGCAGTAAGAAAGCACCATAAAATAAAATCACTCTATTTACGCTTTTAACTCTATTTGCGCTTCCGTTTTCATATTTTGTATAATCTGGCAATCTTATTACGAAAATATCTTAAATCGTTCTTGAAAAATTCCGATACATGTAAGTTCATTTGAATATGCTACTCGCTTAATAGATTTCGTTTTTTTTTCTGTATTTTCTTAACATTTCATTTTCTGTTTCTTACGTAAGATATTTTTTACTTAATGCGATCCATTTCGTTTAAATTTTTTTTAGAGCTTCTCACACTATTGTATTGATATATTTTGCTTTGGCTATATTGATACAATATTAGAAAGCACTCCTTTTTGTGGATATAATCGTGTGAGGTGATGAAGAGATTATATATTTTCATTTTATGTTTTCTGCTTCTTAATATATACTTGTTTTAATCTTTTTATATATATTTTTTTTAAATATTTTATTTTAATAATTTTTATTCTTCTCTTTTCATTAATCTATATTTTTACTAATAAATATATATATATATATTAAATTTCTAACATAAGTAGCTAAATTTAAATGAGGTTTCCACTCAATTTCAGAAAAACAATTCCCTGACTTTTCCAGATATACTAAGTAAATTTCAATGAAAATCGAGACCATATTTTCATTAGAAAACTTTGGTTCCTTTATATGTAATGCTAAATATAAGATTTTCAGCATAAAAAAAATTTCATTAAATGAGGATGGATGCCTTTCAGTTTGACTAAAATGTGAAATTTTTATAACAAATATTTGTAATCGATGTTAGAATTCTTTAACTTGAATCTCAATAACTGATTACTGCTACTGACAATTTCAAGACTGGTTATTTTCCAGGTATGATATAAATATATTCCAGGTTTTTGTAAAAAAAAAATTTGAATTTCCCTGACTATGCACTGATTTTTGGAGTTAAAATAAAATTCACTGACAATGCCAGATTTTCCGACCCTTGGGAACCCTGTTTAAATGAGAATTGCACAGATTTTTATTTAAATTAACATCAATAAAATATTAAAACCAGAAATGAAAATGCGATGTTAATCTTATCAGTCACAAATAATTACTAATAGATAGTAACAGCATAAATTTTAATAATAGAATTCATATCAAATATATAAAATTTATGAACAAAAAGCAATTTGTCATAAGCAATCATCTTTAAAATTATCACAGTTAGCTGATTGTACATCAAATTCCTTAGGAAGTTTACAATGTGCTTCCTGATCAGATTTCTCCATCTTCGTTTTGAAACTAAATCTATGTCCTGAAATTAGAAAAAGAAATAAAGTTCTAAAATTCTTTTATTTTTCATGGAAAGAGAAGGAGGTGTTAACATTAACTCAAAAACTTAATAGCAAGAAATAACTTTCTGCTGAGAATTTTTTTATAATGATACTTTACTTAAAGAAGATACAGATCTATAACATGCAGGCTGATTGAAGATACAGATCGATAAAAGATACAGATTAAAAACAAGATCAGATTCATAAAATTGACATCATAAACATTTAGAGAACAATATCACACATTTAAAGTTAGGAATATCCAATAAAAATTCCAAAAAATATAATTCCGTAGACCTGAATCAGAGAACGATCGATCTCCAATTCAGTACCCCCAGAAGTATTGATTTGTTATATATTTGTTTATTTGGTATAAAACAACATTATTTAAAGTGATCAGAATAGATAAAAAAAACTTTTAAAAAGTTTATTTAAATTTTATCACTACAAATAAATTAACAACAATAAAATGTATAAGAGAAATCCATTTCATTGTTACAAACATTTTATTATTTTTTTTAGAAAACTAATCTGATTATAACTTGCAATGTATGATCTGATTTTTCAATTTATTCATCTAATACAGCCTTTAAAAAATAATTTATTGCTGATAGTTGTTTATTAAAAGTATTCATATCATTTTAAATGAACTGTTTAGCAAAAATAGCTTTACAAATAAGTAAATAAATATTAAGCATTCTGTATTACAACAAACCTGAACAATCCAAGTTTTCTTTGAAGGATTTATCTCTGCAGCAAGACTTACAAAGTTGGTATGTGCATTTTGTTCCCTAATATAAAACAACATATAATAAGATTTACTAAATATGGAAATAATAAAAAAATCTTAGATTACATCAATAAATCATTGGTGATAAATGTTTATAATGATTATTAATATCAATATTGGAAACAAACACAAACAGTAAAATGTATAAAAATGTTACCTGAAAAATATTTTACTAATGAAAAATCACTATAAATGTTAAATTGTGAATAATAGTTTCTTTGTAATCTGAAACAAACTGTTTAACATGTCTAATTACTAAAATATTTCAAGATATCTAAACATGTGCACAACAAAAATTTCTCTAATATATAGTAAATTTTAAAAGAAAAAAAAAATTTTTTTAAAAAGCTGTTGTTAAATTAGGAAGAAAAAAATGTCAAATTTAACAAACAAAATTGTTCAACATGACTAAATACTAAAATATAGTGAGGTGAACTTAATAACAAAGAATTCTCTAATAGATAGTAAAATTATAAAACCTTTAGTAAACTTGCAAATATTGCAGTAAAATTAGAAAAGAAACAATGACAATTTTTAAAGGAAACGTCAGAGAAAAAGAAAAAACATCAAGAAATTTTTAAACTAAAGTAACAAAATATTATATGTATCAATAAATTACTAGAAAATATGTTAAAAGAAAAACTTGAACCACTGCAAAAAAGCATTTGTTACGGAAACAAGCATACACAAATAAGTAACTCTGAAATCTCTCTTCATTTTGAAAGTATGATAATCTGATTTAAATACTTAATTTTTAAAATACTAATAAAAGATGGCTATCAACACTAAATCCTTTTCTTTTTTTTATTTTATGCACTTAAATACAAATATATATATACTTTAAGATTTATATCCCAGTGGCAACTTATGAATACTTTAAAGATACAGAAGTTATAATATATTTAATTTTTTTCATTATAAGAGTTGTTAAATAAAACGTTTCCTATTAGCAAACAGTCAATAATGATATGAGTTATATTTAACATCATTTTCACTCTTTAAATTTGTAATGAAATAGACAAATGTGCTTTTATGTGTGAATAGTTTGCTTTTTGAGAACCAGATAAAGATGATATTGGCTGGCATATTATAATAGTAAAGAATAATTTAAGAAAAAAAGACAATAAAGCGTTTTAAATGAAAAATGTTGGGTCTTAAATATTTGTAAATGCTTCAAAGCATACCATTTCGTATAACATATATTAATTAAATAGATCAAGTAAAAATAGTCATGTGCAATCTGAATAAAATAAAAGAATTTTTCTAATTTCATTCTCCTTTTTTTAAGCAATATTCTAGTAAAAGATAATATGAATCAAGTATATTACTTTCTAAAAAGTATAAGTTCAGAAAATTATTTAAAGAAGTATTTAAAGAAGATTAAAATTTTAGAAATACTTATTTTTGATCATTTTTAATCAGAAATAAATGAACCCATACTTTACAGTTATGATTAAAGCTTCAATATATTAATAGTTTATTGTGATGGTTAAGAATAACTTAGGTTTCAAAGTATTTATGGTTACAATAATAAAACTGTTAAATTTTATACTAATTTGAATAAATAAGTACATGAAAATAAAAACAATCAAACACTTGGATTTAAATATTTATGCAATGCAGAACATTCAATAAATGCTTACATTTTTCAAAAAAAATATAATAAAACTGTTATATATCTATTATACTTAAACTTATATGTAATGTACAGGAGTTGATACCACGTTTACAACAATATATTATAGCTGATGAAATTTTCAAACTTATGTGTAGCTCAAAAAACATTAAGTGTAACACAAGTAAGTAGAATATAAGTAAGACTATCAAAAATTAAATAATTTAACCTATATAAGACAATTGAAAGTTTATAAAAACCTAAAGTTATTAAAAGCCACTGTGACAGTGTTATTTAACAAAACAATTATAACACAGATGTGATGCCACAATTGGCATTACATATTTATTTCCTACCTTTTAAAATATCTTTAATTACTTAAGCTTATTTTATTAATAGAATTATATTTCAAATAAATCAAGGACTTAATCTTTTAAAGTGAACATAAAGTATTTATTCTTTTTTTATCGATCAATGTACTTCACTGCCGCGCCTAATCGAAAACAAAAATCCATTTATAACTTTTTATTCTAAAATTTCAAACAGCAAAAATGTTTCAGTTGCATGGTTGTAATAATTCCCATAAATTTGTTGGCGACTCGTGATTGCCAAGGTATTTTTGAACCCAAGGTTGATAGAACTAGGTTGGCTATGTTATATTTTGATAAATCGCCAATTTTGGATCTCCTACTCATGCTTCTCCTGTGTCCATCGGGAACAATTGCATTCACTTTTAATTTCAAATTTGTAGAGACTGGGAGAGCCCTTTTCGGGCCTCCCCAGTCTCAGTTTTCAACGGTCAAAAATGATCTTCTTGCTGCATCATCTTTCGATGTCAGAGAGTATCTGATTTGATCCCTTTAGGGGATTTCCTTTTTTGTATGTTGAATATTTCCATAATGCATTATACCAATTCTGCTTAATAAGTCAAATTTTTACTTAAATAATTTATATTAATTTCCTGGAGATAATCATTTTATTACATCCATAAATTAAGATGTATCAATAAGGCCAAGATAACCCTTGATGAATTTCTCTATTCGACCACTAATGGCGATCACCACCACAACAGCTTTTACCAAAAAAAAATTGTATGATTGAGCTGATGTTAGAGCCACGAATAAAAATGTTTATAACAAAAAAAAATTATGTATAAAATATATTAACAAATATAAAGAAATTGGAAGTAGATTTTAAAAATATTTACTTTTGGATTGGGACAAAGAGAACAAACATCAAAAGCTTTTTTGATAGAAAATTGTTTTCGAGGATTTTTTAACAATTTCTTGAGCTTTTTCTTAGATAATGAGTTATCACAGTTTTGTCGTTTAATGCCACATGGTGCGATCTCATTTTCAGGTGCAGATTTTTCCTTTTTTACCTTCTGAGCAGAGGCAACAGGACTATAACAAACATAACAATAATAACTGATAAAATACAACTTCAATGACTTAATTTTAGAACTTTTTACTACTAATTTATTTATTTTGGTAATGAAAATAAAAGTAAAAATATTAAAAGCAATCACAAAAGCTTTATAAAAAAATAATAACATTATACATCATGCTTTTTAATCAAATTTTAAATGCTGGGGAACCAAACAAGTCAGAATACAAAGAGATAAAAATTAATTTTAAATTATTAAGCAAGTTCATACAATATTTACAAATAAACAAAACAAAAATTAGAACATATTTTATAAGATAAAGTTGTTGTGGTTAAACATATTTTTAAACATATTTCATGTACATCAAATACATTCATTACACTGGCTAATTTGACATGACATTAATTCCAGATTTCCTCTTTATAGCGATGTTAAAATTTGATCATTAGTTCAAAACTTTAAATATAGTTTTGGCTCATTTTTAGTCTTTTTCAGGGAAAATCAGACAATTTTACTGGTCTTAAACGTATTAAAAAGTTTGCTCCTCAATTAGTTTAAAAATAAAACATTTTGTAAAGAGCTAAGATAATTCAAGCAAACAGCAAATAACGAATAGCAAATAAATATTAAACATATGGATCAATATAGTGATGTGTCATATTTTTTTCCTTAAGCGCCATCTTCACAAACTACTCCTTAATATTGTTTATACATTATACTTTACAGAATTTCCATTTAATAACAGCACAATACACAGAAGCATCTTATTAACAACATAGTTTGTGGTAATATTTACATAAACATTATCCTAAACAATGTGGCAAATATGAGGCTTTTTATTACAGTTGAGCCCCCATCGTATATTATTCCTTTTTTACATCACGGGAAGGGTGGTTAAAGGAAGTTTGGTAGCTTTTGTAAAATTTGTTAGAAGAATTTTACAGCAAGTTTCAACCTTGGAATGATCCCATCATTTAAAGAATGGTACACTAAACAACTGGTTAGGCAATGTTTTCCTTTTTGGGATTCTGGCGAGCTGAGACACGCTTCTCGACAAAAATAAATGCTTTGTAAGCTCTGAATTTGATATCTAAAACCTTGGATAGTGTCGACTAAAATGCATTATAAATGGATTTAATAAATCTTTTAGGAATTAATTGCTTTTTAGTATCCAAAAAGAACTTCCGGCCTTTGGAACAAAATTTCATGTCTGAAGATCTTCAGAAATCGATGGCATGTATACTGATTGCCACACATATCCCATTATTTTTCAATTGCTCTATTATCTGCTCCTGGTGATCGTGAGCACAAAAACTATTATATCTCATTTAAAAGCACAAAAACTCTAAAATATTTGCAAATGTAAAACATAAAGCAAATATGTAAACAATAGTAAGTATTGAGAGCAATATTATTCAAATTGTATCTAATAGCAAAATCATGTAAAGAGTACGCATTTTTCTAGCAGTTCATCTTGTGTCAATCTGTGAAAAATAAACTTGAAGTTTTTTAAGCTGTTTTAACATTATCCCACACTGTGGCGAGGTTGCTGCTCTGTGCATGCAGCGCCCAGCCTACATCAACCAGGGTTTTCCCTGGAGTTGCTTTTGCCTCTCTCGCCCATTATTCCGACATGCTGCCATTGATCGTCACCAAGCCTACCCTTGTGAATCCTCTTTTTTCTGGGGCGGGACGGGGTTAAGCTTTGATTATCCAACTCCGTGTGTTTTTTAACCCTAGCCCGACAGAAAATGTTAAATCAGATTTCCACTGTACATTGAGACGTGATAGCTTATTGATTAGAAGAACTATACTGCCATTGCAAAGAACTGGAGTTCAATCTTCAGTAGCAATCTGAAGCCAAGTTATCATCAGATTGATGGGGATCAGCCTGTCTGGAACGTAAAGGTGGCTCCTGTTTAATACAGACCACATTGTGATAATCATGCTAATTTCATAAAATTGTGGAGACTTAACCTCCATTATGCTCCTGCCCACAATGTGCTGCTGCAGGAATACTTTATTTTTATCATTATATTGTTTTAAGCTTTTCAAATATAAGATGTATTCATAAATGTTTACTTTGTTGTTATAGAAACTAGTACATCATAAAAATATAATAACTTCCAGTTAAATTTATTATATTATTATTTAAACCACTTAACCAATCCAGAGTTCAAGTTTATTGTAATTCTTAACTTCTTAAGATCAAAATAAGCCAACAAAAAAAAATTTATGAAAGTAATTCCATAATTTGGCAATTTTAAAACTTTTTTTCCAAAAATAAGAATAATGATTTAACTTTTACTAGTCAGTAAGAACTTTTAGGCATAAATAAGTAACTCTGAAAGTATTTGCTGAAAATTAAATTAAAATATCTTGTGTAAAATAAAATTAAGTATATTTTATAAATAAAATTTGTTTAGCGTAAAATGGTAGAAGTATACTTTTCAAAGCACATACTCTGGCCTCACGTATGGCTGGCAAATCCAAGGTGGATCTGGTAAACCATAATCTTTCAAACAATTTGTGTGATTTTCACTGTTCTTCAAAAAATTCTAAAATTATAAAGTTTGAAAAAATATTACAGTCAGAACTAAAATTCTATACAATAATGAACTTACATCATGTAACTCACAACACAAACTTTCAACAAATACTTAGTAATTCAATTTTTTTCAAAGGTTTTCTTTTTAATATTTATAATTCTATACAATACTAAGATTTAAATTTATTATACTTAATAACCAAACACAAAAAATTATGTTAATTTTTGTCCTTCAATAAAATTGCCTTTTTATTAATCAATTTTATTTAGATAATAGAGAATAAAAAAATATACTAAATTTTTTTTTAACACTATGGTTGCAACTAATGGTTCTTATTAGTTAGTAATAATTCTATTATTAAACTTATTAGTTAGCTTCCATCATAATTTGTTTGACAGAAACATAGAAAATACAAAAATAACCATGTTTTTTATTTGAAATTTAAAAATCCACATATTAGTGATATACACTTATTTAAATTTAGCTACCCAGAATAAATTAATATAATCAATTTTATCCAAGGATTTTCATATGAATGGAAGTTAGAATGGAAATATATTTTAATTTTTTTTAACTAATTACATAATAGGCATCCAAATTTTAAAAAAAAACATTAATTTTATTTAAATTAAATAATACTCAATAGATTTTTTAAAAAATTTCCAACAAGTTGGCATGCTTGAACTTGGCAGAAGAAATTTCCAAAAAAAATTAAAGATTATATGTTATCCATGTTATTCTAATCTATCTATGTTACATTCCTGCCAGTGGAGAGAAAAAAATTAAAACTCAGACATTTCAGATATCATTTTCATCTTTTTAATAAAAAATTTCATATTTTTAACTAATAAAAAAAAAACTTTCACTTTAAAAATGCTTCAAAATAATGAAGAGAAACGAATAATTCTAAAATTGATCCTTATAATTTGATGAAAATTAAAACCTTTATAAAACATGTTTACATAAAATAAATCATAGCCTAAAGTATTTGTTCATTCTATTTCAACTAAAAACCTATGATTGGAAATAAAATAAGAATACAAGCAATAGAAAATACAAGCAAACTACTATTACTAATAAATTAAATAAAAAAATATATAATGCTACCTCATATTTGTCTTTCAATTCAATGACAGCTATTCTAAACTCTTCAATACAATTAGCAACAGCTACTTTTTGCCTAATATTTTTATTTTCATCCAATAACAAGCTATTGAGAGTGGAAAAAAATTCTTTAATATCAATTGCTATAACAGATGGATAGTTTTTATAGAAATATAAAATGTGAGAATCTCTAAAAAATCTAGTTAAAAGCTGAGTATAAACCGAAAGAGGCCAATTAAAAAAGAGAGAGAGAGATAAACCAAAGTAATATTTTTGGTAAAAGCATGAAGAGAAGAAATATAACCAAATGAGTTTGCAGAGATGCCACCTTTCCAAACTAGCTATCAGTAATCAAAAATACAATAATACAGTTAGCAATTAAGTAATTCAAAAGAAATCAATTTTAAGATGCATATACGTACTACTGTTGAGGTATATAATACATATTAAGAAAATAATGCAGGATTTTTTCTAGTAAATAAAAAGTAACACTTAGATCAAGGACTAAATTAAAAATCATACAATACTGAAATTTTGAAATTCATTCATAAAATGGTAAAATTAAATAGATTACTTGGTATCAATGATCTAATTTTTAGTTAAATTAGAACTATCCCCTATTGCCTTTTTATCATCCTGTATTTGAACCAATAAAAAATATGGCACGTAGTATTTCATAAATGAGTTTATGTTCATTCACTTATCTTTAAGGAGAGAAGATTAATAAATAGTTTTTGAAATAGCTTTTTGACAAAATAGCGTTTTGAAAAAGGCAAATTAGATTTCTTTGGGAAGTTTTTATTTATTGTTTCCATAAAATTATTTAAGTTTTGTTTATAGTTTTAGAAATTGTTTAAGTGCACAAAAAAATTTTCCTAGATGCATTGCAGGCTGTTAAGGAAAAACTCGTGGCAGTAAAAGGGGGAAATCAAACTTGTTTTAAAGAGATTATAACGGAAATTTTAAAAAAATAATTTTTTCAATAAACCTTTTAGTATAGTTATCAGATAACAATAATTGTTTATGCATTAAGAGCTGCTTCTTTAAACAACAAGGTATGAGAAATTTAATTAGATGTGCTCTATCAGTAAGAAATTATGTCATAAGAAGCGTCTTTATCTGTAGGATTATTACATAAAAATAAAGATTATTGTTCCTTTCGAATAAAGCAAAAAAAATTACAAATCTGAATAATTTATTTATTATTAAGCTTTTTCTTCTTTTCAAAAACATGTCGTGACAGCTCTCAAAATATTTTGCACCTTAAAAAAATTGTTTTTGCAAATTTTTTTTTTCAAATTTTAGCAATAAAATTTGTATTTAAAGCATTAAAAACATAATTAGTTAAAATACAGAATACAAATTAACTAAAACTATTAATTACAGATTTAATTAAAATATCAAATAATAAAATTTTTACTTCACAAACAAACAAATACATTTTATCTCAAAAATATGAGTTATGACCCACATATTGCAAAAGATTTGCATCACTGTACCAATATTCATTGTACCAAAATTTGAATCACTTTCTGTACAGGATGCACATTTTCAGAAACTTTACATTTAATGGAAACACCACAAGGTTAAAGACCTTGTTATGCAGTGAGGTTAATTGAGTCCTTATATTCATAACAACTACTATACAATATAACAGTGATATCGGATATAAAAATTTTGAAAGCAAAACATTTCTACTAACCAATGATGACATAATTTAAACAAATGTCCACGTACATATGAAGTTGGACAAGGATAAAGTTTGACGAGCTCTAAGTATTCCAAAGCCATTTCCCACACTGTTGGAGCCAAACCTCTAAATAAAGCTGGATTGTGTAAGCTGCCCTCTATAAAAAAAATTAAGCAAATGGAATAAATAAAAATTTAAGAGCTGAAAAATAAACAATTAACCTTAAAATATTTGTGAAAATCTGAATCACTTTCATCATACAATTGAATCAATCACACAATTGAATTACTCATTTGAATCACATTCATAAATATATACTATGTTATTCAGATTCTGTCACATCAATTATGAAGAAATATTTTTAAAGTTATGCAGATAATGCAGTGAAATTATGAAATAACTAAATCAAAAAAAAAAATCACTAAATTTTAAATTTAAGAAATAATGTATCTTTTCCAAGTTACAAGCAAAAGAGAAAATCAGAAAAAAAACTACATTATTTGAAAAATACTATAGGTAGGCTTGAAATTCTGGAAACTATATCCTTGATTTGTAAATAATTAACTATAACAAAGTAACATTTTCTCCTAATTTATAATATACTACAGTAGTTTGTAACACAGAAGTACTCATATAGATTTTTGTATCGGTTTTAAAAACGTCTCTAAATCATAATCTAATTATACCAGAACACGAACATTATAATCTTTGAGGAACATTCAAATCATAATGACAAATTATTATTTCCTGAATCAATAATTGATTGTGCTATAAGTAACACAATAAAATTAATTTGAGATAAACATGCATAGAAACAAAATTTAATATAAAAAATTAAAAAATATATGGACTACTCTGAATAATTTTCATTTTTGTAAAAAAATTGTGTTATTCCAATTATAATCAAAATTATTTCTATGAATTTTGAATAAGTTTTAATTACACAATGCATTATTCAAAGCAATTTTAAAAAAAACTTTCATTTTAATATATCATTAGAAAATAACAGTTAAAATAACTTTTTTTTTAATTTTATAAACTAAAAATTCAAATCACATAACATGATTTAACACAACTTACAAAGCTGGTTCTTAATATATATTTTTAAAATAGCATTTAAAAAAAAAATTTCAATTTTTTTAAACTGAAAAAGTGTTTAAACACATTATGATTCAACAAATCTTAAAACAATGCTATTTTTCATATATATTTTGAAAATTACATTTAAAAAAACTTTTTTTTTTCAAATTTTATAAATTGTTTCATAACACGTTACAACAATGCTGATTCTCCAACATACTTTAAAAATTTAAATAAAAAAACTTTAGAGTAAATAACTATTTTAATTTAACTAAGAATTCATATAGTTATATAGTTACAAAATAAAATAAGACTTCAGCACTGTCAGACTCAGCACTTACCAGCAATCATAACTCCATCAACACCAGTTTCTATCAAGCACCTATGAACATCTGAAAGGTACTGTATGTTGCCATTAGCAAATATTGGTATTCTTAAATTTTGCCTAAAAAAAGTTTCAATTTTAAAAATTTTGTTAAATAAATAAATGAAGAAGGCAAAGTGTAGTTACTTAAAAAAAGAATATCAAGTAAATATATAATGCTTGAAACTAAATTCTGTATTCAGGCAGCAAAAAAATGAATATGATTAAGTTAGCAAACACACAAAAAGAAACTTTTAACCCTCTAATTACTGTACAAATTTTGATTTAAGAAAATTTCTCATACAGTGTCTCTGTCAATCAAATTGAAGCTATGCTTAACGAAAATTTTCATCATCATCATCATAGTTGGCCAAACAGCCCAATGTGAGCCAATGCCTTCCTTTGAAGATTTCTCCATGACGACTTCCAGTGGGTCTAAAAAGTAGTATCTTTTCTATTGTATTGTCATCACTCATTCGAATCACGTGGGCGATCCAATTCATTCTATTTATTTTTATGTATTTAATGATATCAGATTGTTTATAAATCTTGTACAGTTCAAAGTTAAACCTCCTTCTCCAGTTATTGTTTACATTTACACCACCAAGTATACTCCGCAAAATCTTTCTCTCAAATATTGCGATACAATTTTCCTCCAGTTTTGTTATTGTCCAAGCTTCAGAAGCATGTGTCAAGACTGGCCAGACAAGAGTTTTGCAGATTAAGAACTTTGTTTTCCTAGAAAGAAACCTAGATTTAATAAATCTTCTCAGCCCAGAGACAGCCCTATTCACCAGATAGTCAGTTTTTTATTTCAGGAGTCAAAGATAATAATTGATCCTAAGTAATTAAAACTTCTCACTGTTTCAAATCTATAAGAATTTATTTCAAGATAGGGGTCTGGGACTCTGTTTCTTGAAAATAACATATATTTTGCTTTCTCTACATTTATGACTAAGCCCATTTGCTTTGCAGCCACCTCAAGGGCAAGAAATGCCTCTTTCAGGGTAGGAAGGGAACGAGCAATTATATCGACATCACCAGCATATGCAAGTAGTTGCACTGATCTACTAAAAATGTGACCACTGGTATTGATGTTTGAATCACGAATAACTCTCTCAAGTGCAATATTAAAAAGAAGACAGGAGAGAGAACCTCCTTGTCGAACACCTGTGAATGTGTCAAGATTTTCTAAGTGCAATATTAAAAAGAAGACAGGAGAGAGAATCTCCTTGACAAACACCTGTGAATGTGTCAAGATTTTCTGACAGAGACCCCAGAAACTTAATCTTACACTTTGTATCTTTCAATGTAAGTCTCGTCAATTTAATGAGTTATGAAGGTATTTTAAAAGTACTCATTGTTTCAAAAAGATAATTTCTATTGATACTATCAAAAGCAGCCTTGAAATCAATAAAAAAATTATGTGTTTCAATGTTAAATTCCATTGATTTCTCAAAAATCTGACGTAGACAAAATATCTGATCTTTAGTTGATTTTCCAGCACGAAATCCACATTGATATTTTCCTATTTGTGAGTCAATAAATGGCAACAACCTGAGATATAAAATTCTAAATAGAATTTTATACAAAGAAGACTAATGCCACAATAGTTGGCACAGGTCATAGGATCTCCTTTCTTGTGAATTGGGCACAAAATGCTAATATTCCAATCCGTTGGCATACTCTCAGAGTGCCAGATGTCAGTAATAAGTTCAAATAAATTTCTCAATAAGGTAGGTTCACAATGTTTTAGTAGTTCTGCTGAAATAAGATCATGTCCCGAAGCCTTCTTTATCTTCAAATTTTTAATTGCAGCCCTGATCTCCTCAATAGTTGGAGCCTCAACTTCGATGTCATTTATGAATTCAGGCACAATTATTTCAACATCGTCACAATTTTTATTAAGAAGTTCTTTAAAATGTTCATGCCATCGTTTTAAAATGACTTGCTTATCAGTAATAATTTCACCAAATTTGTTTTTCCATAGATTAGAGGTTTGCTTAAAGTCCAATCGACTGCGGTTTATTTTTCCATAGAATGCTTTGCATTCATTAATGGATTTCAGATGTTCAACATCTCTAAACAATTCTTCATCAAAGACCCTTTTCTTTTGCCTAAAGAGTTTCTTCACCTCTTTTCTGTGTCTATGGTATTCCTCTGCACTATTTCTTGTGTGTGCTTGTATCATATGTTTACATGCAACATTCTTTTTATCATTAGCAATGGCACAATCAATATCATACCAATCCTTACCCTGTTTCTTAGTTACTTTACCAATCACGTTATCGGCAGCGTTACAGATACTATCTTTTATACATTTCCCTTTATTTTTCACAGTACCATCATAATTCTTTAAATTCAACTGTTCCTTTACTTTTTTGTAATATTCAAGTTTATATCCTTGTAATATATAATAAGTAAATATATAATCCTCGAAACTAAATCCTGTATTCAGGCAGCAAAAAAATTAATATGATTAAGTTAGCAAACCCACAAAAAGAAACTTTGGAAAAGAAGAGAAAAGAAAAGAAACCCTCTAATTACTGTAGAAGTTTTGATTAAAAAAAATTTCACATACAGTATCTCTGCCAATCAAATTGAAGCAATGCTGAACAAAAATTTTAAGCTCAGTTAATTTCAAAAATAAATTTTATTTTTAAATAATTGAAAAAAAATTAAAAAGTATACAAATGACTTAAATTTTTAAAGAACAAAAAAAAACTTTAAAGTACATAAAGAACGGGAAAAGTAAAAAAAGTAGAATTCTTTACAAATATTGTAATGAATTTTTTTCCCTAAAAATTATACCAAAAAAATAATAAAATAAATCTTGTGATCTGTATCATTTAGTATGAAAATTAAAAACAGGTTAAATATTCAATAAAATAAATAAAAAATAGATACATCTAATTTCTCTCTTATTAAGAATGTAATAAATGGCTTTAAATAAAAGACTTAATGTTGTAAAAGAATGTAAAAATACATTTGCTATAGCATTTCTAATAAATAAAAAAAATTATTACTTAACAGCTTTGATATGTTCCCAGCTAGCCAATCCTGTTAATGGACCTTTTTGTTCCCTCGTACGACCATGAACTGTAAGAAGCTGAAATAAATAATTATATCTGAATAAAGATTGAATAAATATTTTAAATGTAAAAAATGAACTCCTTAGCATCTTTAAACCAACATCTTATAATAACTCACTTAATGTTCAAAAAACATTGCGGCTGAATACAGTTTATTATAAAAATGAATAAAACATACTTTATTAAATTGATTGCACAAAAATATTAACTATTACGAATATACAAACATAAATCTGTTACACTAAAAATCATTATGAATATAATTGGTTTCAACAAACAGCTTAACTAATCTACAAATTAATAAATACATTCTAAAAACAAAACTAAGATAATTTAGTTTAAAGTTTATAAAAAGATCATAGTAATTTAAATAATTTTTGAAGTTTAAATGTTTAAAAAATCCTTAAGTTTAAACCCAATTGTATTTTGTGATTTTATATATTTTGGAACAATTTACATTCTAATTCAATTTTTTAATACATTTCACTCTATGAATTTAAATTTTGCAGGTAAATAAAAAAATTATGAAAAAATTATAAGTTTAAGATAGAAAACATTGCAGAGAAAAATAAGCAATCATCTTTAGATCCTTAAATAACATGAACTCTTCTCCAAAACAATTTGTATCATAATCTATACATTGAGATTTTGTAAAAGATATTGAAAAAATTTAAAGTAATTGTTTGATATACATTTTAAGAATTTAATTAATTTTTAAGCACAACACATTTCTAAAACTTTAAACACAGTAGAAGTATAAATTGACAAGATTTAATATTTAAAAGATTAAAAAGTATAAAATAGGGTAAAAAAAAAAAGGAAATTAAGAGAGTTACTAACCTGACACCCAGCTTTTTCCAACATTTGAGCATACTTTATAGTCCTTTCAACATCTTTAAAGACTCTAATCTTACAAGTTATTGGTATTTTTGCTTCTTTTGAAGCTCTGGAAACTGCAAAAGAAAATTTAGAAGAAGTTTTAAAATAATTTTATAAGTACTTTTTAAAACAATTCTGTATGCAAATAAGTCTTGCCACAATAATTTTAGTACTTTTTTCATTGTCAAGATAAAAAAATATTTATTCAACCCAGCTTCAGATCAATGGATAGACCTGCTTGTCTGGGGGGTAAAGAACAGTGAACAATAATGACCGCAATGCAACCATCATGATATTGATCATGAAATTAGTAGGCTTTGTCTGCACAAGCCTAGTTTTGTGATTTACCTAACTGTTAGTAAAGAATAAGTGCACATACCCATATTTGCAAGCAATTCCCATTCCTCTTGTAGAAAAGAACCATAATGACCACGGCGAGCTATAGCTTGTGGGCATCCTATATTTAAATCTACTGCTTCACAATGTCCCACACAAAGCTTGCAAGCTTCCACAAATGTATCAGCATCATTTGCGCAAAACTAAAAACAAATATAATTTTTAATACATTAGATCTAATATTTTCATGTATTTTAACTTAAAATTTCATATATTTTAGCAACATTTTAATTTAAAAAAATTGGAAATAAGTGAAAAATAATTTTATATTGTGTTTAATTTCTCTCCTTGAATAAAAAGCATAGTTGCATGATGGAGTGGCTTTTCAATTATTCTTTGAAAATTTACAAATTGAGTTCTAATTTCAACCCAAGAGTAAAAAAATATTAACGTGGACTACAAGCAAGAAATCAATAACTCAAGAACATTTTTAAAATTAAATATCTACATCTAGCCTATACACTCCTTATTATGATCCTTCATTGTAACAAGTGATGTGTTAAATCCTATTTCGTTTCAAATAAATGCATTGATATTTTATTGTAAGCTATAGTGTCTGAATTTACCATCCATTCCAATATAAACATCGAAAAAAAAAAATTTAATTCAGAAAAATTTGTCAATTATGTACTGAAAAAAAAGTATAAAAACTCCTATCAACAGTGGTGATTGTGGGCCAAACTCAAAAATCATGCAAATTTCTTGAGTAAAATCATTCAAAAAATTAATATCTTTGTAAATTTAAATCATTGAAATTTTCAAAACATGATATTCTAAATGAATTATACGCAGCATAATTTAAATAAATAATTATGTGTAAGTTTACTTTTATCTCTAATCACATTTATTATTCTATCAGAAAAAATATTTACAAATGAAAGAGATGCCAAGTATAAATTCTAGTTCTAATATTTTTAAATAAAATACACAAGAATTTTTATAAAAAAATGTGATCGATGATTTTTTGAAATTTCGGGACTTTGGATTTCCCGAAACTTTCGGATCACAGTTAGCAAAAAATATGGAAATCTGGATTTTTTTCGGAGCACAATCACCCCTGTATCAATTTCGATTAGAAATTAAACTAAAATATTACACCATTTAAATTGTATAATAAAGCACTGAGTAGAAGGTGCAGAAATGTCTTCAACTTTAAAAATAAATTAAATTAAGATATTAAACCAACTATATGCTATTGTAATATATTTTATAAAGAAATGGCAAAAATATTTATCACCTTTAAGAACAAATTAATGTAAAATCTCCATACAGTAATGTACGGTGAGTAAGGAGCAGAAACTATCAGCCAAAACAATAAAATAAACTAAGGTGTTACACCATTTATGAAAATCTGCATAGTCCACACACATTCATTAGTTTCGAAATAATGATACCTCAACTGACTTTTTCCAAAGGGAAACAATAAATAAATAAATTATATTTTCTTTCTTGAAACAATTTACTTAGCTATAGTAAATCAACTTTGTTTGCTTAAACATGTAAATATCCACTTAAAAAGCATGCAAAATATATAATTAAGATTAAAAAGAAATATAATTTTTTTTGTATGTTTTTCATATAAAATTTTTGGCAGAGAATATTAAACATGCTTTTAGAAAAAGCTAAAAAATTCTTTGTTTTTAATGGAGAATATCATTACATAAATTTGTAACACAAATATGAAGAAAATTTTCTTTTTAATTAAGACCATTATTTTTTATACATACAGTCTCATTTATATTTAATAGGATGAAAATATCTATTACTGTCAGCATAATTCAAAATTTCTGAAATGACGCAGAATCATTGATTTTAATTATTTTGATAAAAGAATGAATTAACAAAGGGTCTTCAAAAAATATATATATATATTTTTTGGGGAAAGAAAGTTTAAGATAAGGAAGAGAATATTTTTAGATTTCGCTGAAAAAAATTGCTGCATTTTAAAAAACGGTACTTTGGGATTATCCCATTGACCATTTTCGCCAAAAAGTAGCTTCTGCACCAAAACACCAAATTTTAACACATTTACTGAGTAATCCTTGAGTAAACAGGTTAGTTTTCCTTAGCGTGTTGAAATATACTGTTCATTTTACTCCACTGCAAAATAATTAGAATCTGCCTAGCGTCGAATGCACAAGAATAATTGTTTGTTTGTGCTTTAAAAGCTATCAAGGATTTTTGGTCGCCGAAATCATTTATAATAATATATATGGTTAAATTCAAGTGTAATTCAATGTGAAATTATAAAAATAAAAAAAATAGAGGCTTTTACTCTGTTTTGGTTCTTTTTATTACACTTTTTTATTATGTACTAGCCGCCTAAGGCGGC